TAAAATAAAACGGTAAGTCACAACTCCAGGAGAAAGTGACTTACTAAGGAGACCAGTCACTGAAGGGGCTGGAGAGATGGCTCACTGGTTAAGAGCACTCACTGCCTGTTCTTCTAGGTTCCATTTCCAGAGCACATAAGGGGGTTCAGAAGCATCTGTTATTCCAGACTCAGGGGATCTGATGCCCTCTTCTGGCCTCTGTGGGTACTGCATGCCTATGGTGCATAGACAGATGCAGGCAAAGCACTGCACACACAAAAATAAATACATTTAAAAAAAAGTTAAAAGGATTTTGTTTTTGATTTTGTTTTTTAAAAAACCCACTCAATGAAATCATACCAGAAAAACTCCCCAATCTTGGGGAAAATGTGGACGTTCATATGTAGAAGGTTTACAGAAACCCAGAAGACATGACCACAAAAAAAAAATCTTATCACAATTTATTTAATCAAAACACCAAAAATGTATGACGGGCTGGAGACAGCTCTCTGGATAAGAGCACTTGCTACCATTGCAAAGGATCTGGCCTCCATCCCCAGCACCCTCATGGTGGCTCACAACTGGTTGTAACTACAGTTTGAGGGCTTGTGGAATCAGTCCTCTTCTGGCCTCTGTTAGTACCAGACATACACATGGTGCACATAAATACACAAAGGCAAACACACTAGTACAAATTAAGTATAAATGAATAAATACATAAATAAATATTTTTAAAACTAGACAAAGGAAAAAATCAATATCAAAGGGAAAGTAAAAGATCACATTTAAGGGCATGCCTGTCAGGCTCACAGCAGACTTCTTTGGAATTGTGTCGCCCGGGAGAGGATGGGATGACATAGTCCAAGCCCCGAATGAAAATAGCCGCCAACCAAGACTACTATAAAAAGCAGGGCTAGCTTCCAGATGTGAAGACCTTTTAAGGCAATCAGAGAATTCATAAGCATCACACTAGACTTCCAAAAGATCTTAAGGGAATCCTATATCTGGAAGTGAAGTAAAGATGAATGTGTAGGAAAGTACAGCTGTCTCTAGAAAGGCAGATACAAATATTAACAATACAATAAATCATTAAACTTCACAGGGGAGCAAGAGTAGGAAAAAAAACCCCAGCAAAGATATTCAAAACAACTAGAATAAAGTCAACAAAATAATGTCAAAATGTCCTTACCTGTCAATTATAAACTTAAATGTAAACAGACTAAATTCTCCAGTTAAAAGAAATAGACCACACAAAAGGATAAAGAAACATAATCCAATGAATCACAAGTTGTCTTCCAGAAACTCACCTCACCAATAGAAATGTGTCTAGATGAACGGAAAGACAGAAAATGGTATTCTAAGCAAATGAAAACTTAAAGCAAGCTGGAGTATCTGTACTTACATCTAATAAAGGAATTCTGGGACAAAAAAACATCAGAAGAAACAAAGAAGGCCATTAGATAATGATTGAAGGAGCAATTCAACAAAGGATACAATTGTTACAAGTCTCTGTGTACCTAATGCAGAGCATTCAATTCCATAAAACAGACCCCAAAGTAAAGAAAGATAAGCTTCAGCGCAGTAAGAGAGAGGGATTTCAACACTCCACTCTCACTAGTGTAAGCAGAGAGATCAATGCAGAGGTGTGAGTAGTGAAATGTGCTGGAGAGCAGACGGACAGAACAGTCATCACAGAACTATCCAATATGTACACACATGGACCTTCCTATAGAGTATGCCATACATTAGGCTACAAAATAAATATTGGAAATGAAAAAATTAAAAGGTATTCTATATATTTTCTTATCACAATGAGATAAAACTTGAAGTCAATAATGTCATGAAGGGAGTATAACTTTTTTTAAAAAGAGTGTTTCACTCTGTAACCCCAGTTGACCTGGAACTCACTATGTATACCAGGCTGGCTTCAGACTCACAGAAATCAGCCTGCCTCTGCCTCCTGAGAGCTAAGATTAAAGATGGAGCATGCCTTTGAATGAACTTAAAGGAAAACTAAAGACTGTGAGAAACTATTTTCAAACTGCAGATACGGTAAAGAACTTACGTCTAAGGAAAAAAAAGCTCTGGAAATGAAGCAATTAAAGCCAGGCCATGTAGAAAATGGGGATAAGACAATGACAGACATTTAGCCCAGGAGGTTATGAATGACAAACACTTGAAAGATGTCCGACATTATTAGCCAATAGAGAAGTGTAGTTTAAGACCAGGAAGGCACGACATTCTAGGGTTAAAACAGTGAGAAATGCAGCTGGGTGAATCACACACACACACACACACACACACACGGGAGCTCAAGGAACAAGGATGAAGAGTTTGAGGCCAACGGGGGTTACACAGTGCGTTGAAGGCCAGCCTGAGCTGCTACAGTGAGATGCTGCCTCAAGAAACGAAAGGGTAAGAAGTAATACTTCCATTCTGGAAAACACGACAGAAATGTTTCATGCTGTGGACTGTGACTCAGTAACGAAAGCCACAAGATCTGGATCAAAGAGCGGCCCCGGAAGGCCACACACTGAGATGCCACACGCTGAGATGCTGCCATACACTGAGATGCTGCCACACACTGAGATGCTGCCACACACTGAGATGCTGCCACACACTGAGATGCTGCCACACACTGAGGTGCTGCCACACACTGAGATGCCACACACTGAGATGATGCCACACACTGAGATGCCACACACTGAGATGATGCCACACACTGAGGTGCCACACACTGAGATGATGCCACACACTGAGATGCCACACACTGAGGTGCCATACACTGAGGTACCACACACTGAGATGATGCCACACACTGAAGTGCTACACACTGAGATGATGCCACACACTGAGATGCTGCCACACACTGAGATGATGCCATATACTGAGATGCCACACACTGAGATGATGCCACACACTGAGATGCCATATACTGAGGAGATGCCACACACTGAGATGCCACACACTGAGATGCCACACACTGAGATGCCACACACTGAGGAGATGCCACACACTGAGGTGCCACACACTGAGATGCCACACACTAAGGAGATGCTACACACTGAGGTGCCACACACTGAGATGATGCCACACACTGAGATGCCACACACTCAGCATTCTCAATCACTAACTGTGAAGATGAAAACCCAGCTGTTGTCTAGAAATTACAGAGGGTGAGGTGGAGGCTTGAGTGACAATGTGTGTCCCCCAACGAAGTCAGTTGCCTTCTCTGAGCTTCAGTTTTCAATTCCATAGAATGATTATTATCATTTCCCCCCCACAAACCCCGGCTGTTTGTATTTCACCTTACAAACTCTTTGCCACGGCATTTACTAATTTCCCAAGAGGTCACACACCCATTTTCCCAGCATGCACTGTGTTATGTAAAATAGCACCAGATCTGGGCTCTGCTTTGTTCTCCAGAGAGAAATAAACATGTTTTATTTTGCCACCTCCGAATCCCACTGCCAGTGACACCAGCACCAGGGGCATGCCATTCGGCCCAGATCAATTTCAGATGGAGAAAATGAAGTCAAATTTGAAGTATCACTTAAAAGAAACCCTGGCCCCGTATCCCAGCTGGAACAAACCCCATAAGGCCATATGAGGTCTGGTGTAGGTGGCCCTGCCATTTCTGGGATTTCAGCCTCATTTTTCTCTTCTCCTTTACTCTACTGCAGCCACATTCTACTCTGTGCTCTTGTTAGAGTACCTTGGGCTTTCCTGCCTTGAGGCATGGCTCTCACTGTCCTCTCTACCTGGAAGACTGTATTTAGGTAGGTCAAGTCCTCAGGACATTCAAGTTCCATTTAATGTCACTTCCTCATAGATTCCTTTCTCAACTACTCTGCCTAAAATACCTACACATGCCACACCACACCATACACAGACACACAGACACACACACACACATACATATACACATACACATTCACACCATGCCATATACACACCACACATATACATTCATACCACATGCATTATATTATTACACACACACCATACACACTCAGACTATAACCACACACACTTAATACACACACACACACACAATCACCCAGCTTGTTTCTTTCCTGCTCACCCTTTGACCCTGCAGAATTCTCTTCCACACTCTGAGGCTACATTTTCTTAGCTAAGGAATGGCAGCTCCATGGTCTGAGGGATATGAATAAAGGCCATCCATTGCTTATCCTCCATCTTCCTCCTCCTGCTTTTTATTTATTTGGGTACAGGCTCTTATGTAGCCCAGGCTGGCCTTGAACTCACTTCACAGTTGAGGATGACCTTGAACTCCTGATCCTCCTGCCCTCACCTACCTTTCCTGTGCTGGAATGGAGCTGCAGATTTGGCTCCTCCCAGGCCAGCTCTGCCATCTACAGCCCACCTGCCTGTTCAGTCAGTGCTCTTTACAAGAAAGACTTTTATTTATTGCCCGACAATTGCGCACAAAGAAACAGTGTATCTTGAGTCTATCCACCCCACTGCCCCTCTCCGCACACACCCCGCGCCCCAACATGACCTCGGCCTCTCCCTTCCTGTTATTATTTATTACTGCCGACTCCATGAGTCCAGTCAGGGCTGGTGCTGGAATGCTGCCCTCGCTTTGCTGCGCCCACACCGCATGCTCTGGGCTCAAAGAGACGACAGGCAGTCTGCCCCGGCAGGGCTCCCAGGCTCCCAGTCGTCCTTGAGGCTATCAGTATGTGGGAACGTGAGCTAGAAAAACTCAGCTCCAACCGTGGCCAACATGGGGGCAGAACCAGGCCGAAGGAGGGCGGCAGGGAAGACTTCTTGGGGGCTAGATCTACTTTGTCCACAAAGCAGCAGGCTTGCTGTCCCCTTGCCAGAGGGCATACAGAGGTGACCCTGAAAGCTAGATGAGCCGCTTTCAGCGCTGACCTGCAGAAGGCAGTCCGGGTGGTGCATCCCTCTGCCTGCCTCAGATTTATTGCCCGTGACTAGGCCCTACCTCGGTCATTAAAAGCCAAAGCCGTCGGAGTTTCCCCAGCACATTCAGCATGCTGCGGACTAGCTCCTCAACCCTCTCAGGACACATTAAGCTCTGCTTCCTGACCTTAGCTGTCTTTATGATCCTGGCTCAGACTTCCCCAGGTAACCGGTGGTGAGAAGGGGGAAGGGAGAGTTACCACCTACCCACAGGGTAGGGGCTGCTGAGGTCTGGCAAGAGAGAGCCACACTATGCCTGTGTCTTTGGGACTCGGAGGTAGCTTGGTGGGAGAGTTGCTTGGGGAACATGTGTGAGGCTCTGAGTTCAACCTCCAGTGCTGGGAGGAAGGAGGAGAGGGAGGGAAGAGGGGATGGATGGTGGGAGGGAGGAGGAAAGGAGGGGGAAGGGGAGGAGGGAGGGAAGAAGGAAGGGAGGGAAGGAGGAAGGGAGTGAGGAGGAAAGGAAGGAAGGAAAAAAGAAAAAAGAGGAAGAGGGAGGGAACAGAGGAGGGAGAAGAGGAGCGAGGGAGGAGAGGAGGGAAGGCAGGCAGGGAGGAGGGAATAGAGGGAGGTAGGCATCAATAGGAGGAGGGAGAAGAGAAGAGAGAGGGGGAGGGCAGAGGGCGGAGGGTGGGGATGTGCTTTCCCAAGGGCTGCCTGTGGCCACAGTGATGTTTCTTTAGGAAGACCGGAAAATGCAAGCAGAGAGAAAGCAACAGCCTCGACATTGGTCGCCCGCCCCGCCCGCCCCGCCTGCTCACCACAACATCAATGCCCCTGTTCCCAATATCTCCTGTCTGACCCCAGTCTCTCACTTCAGTCCCCTCCACTGGTACCATGCCTTACAGTAGCCGGCGTATTTCCTTCACCTCTCCCTTGAAGCAAGCAGAGGAGGCATCTTGTTCTTAGACTACGTGATGGGAAATGTGTGGGTGGATGTTGGGTGACTACAGGTTCTTAGTAGGCTAAAGGCCTGGAGCTGCTTTCAGAGCAGGAGAGTCTGGATTTCAAATCGAACATGTGTACAGTAGCCACAGATCATCAGAGTCTTCCTTCATCACTCTCCACATAATGATAATATTATTATTAATAATTATTTGGGATAGCGTCTCACTATATGGCCCTGGTTGTCCTGGAATTCACTGTCCTTGAACTCAGAGATCCACCTGCCTCTGCCTTCCAAATTTTAGGATTAAAGGCATGGACCACCATGCCTGGTATCTATCTATCTATCTATCTATCTATCTATCTATCTATCTATCTATTTATTTATTCATTCATTCATTCATTTATTCATTTAGAGACAGCACTCTCTCTGAACCTGGAACTCAGAGGCTGGCTAGACTGGCTGGCCAGTGAGCCCTAGGAACCCACCTGTCTCCACTCCCCCGGCGATGGGGTTACAGATGTGTGCTGCTGTGTCCAACTTCAGTGTGGTCACTGGCCGCCCAGACTTACATTCTTTTTTTTTTTTTTTTTTTTTTTGGTTTTTCGAGACAGGGTTTCTCTGTGTAGCTTTGCGCCTTTTCCTGGAACTCACTTGGTAGCCCAGGCTGGCCTCGAACTCGCAGAGATCCACCTGGCTCTGCCTCCCAAGTGCTGGGATTAAAGGCGTGCGCCACCACCGCCCGGCCAGACTTACATTCTTATGCTTCTAAGCAAGGACTTCACCCACCAGGTCCTCTCCCCAGCCCAGGTTTATGCTTCTCAGTTATATCATTTGCGGTTGGGTCAACTTCGCAAGGTGAAGGTCTTTGTCAATCAGTCAATGGTTTTTCTAGAGAAAAGGGGGAGGGGAGGAAGAAAAAAGCCTATTCTTGGTTACCACCGATTGGAAACTGGGTTAAATTCTGGAGAGAGCAACGAGGGCAGAGGACGGTGCTGTAGTTATGAGATATTTCAGAGAAAGCCAGCACATGGGCTCATGGGATACTGACGTGGGAAAGTAGATGGATATGAGCTTGTTTTTTCAAGTTTGACTGTCCTGGTGAGAGAGAGCACCAACTTACTTCCCAGGGGAGGAATTGGGTAAAGACAAGTAGAGAGAATTTGTGCTTTACACTGGGAGAGGGGATATCGACACTCACTGAACCCACCGTTCTCACGGGCCTGCCACCATCCTCAGGATATACAAATGTGTCCTCTTCACATGGTTCAGGATTCCTCTCTTCTCATTTTGCTAGAGGGATGGCTCAAAACGTGCTTTTATGGACTGGGCAAATGCAGACGTGAATGCAGGTCAAATGAGAAGAAGAGAGAGATATGTGGGGATGTCACGGTTTGCTGTCTTCACATATCAAAGTCAAAACTATCCAACATACCTCTGACCAACCAGAAAAAGAATGGTACGTATCCATTTCAGTCTTCCAGCTCCAGAGTTTCAACAGTCACCATGACAAGTCAGTGACACATGCAATAGCTATCCTAATCTTCGGTGCTAGGCCTTCAGAGGGTTCATTAATCAGTGTTCGTTGCACTGAGTCTGAGGTACAGATTTGTGACAGGGCAGAGATGTAAGCAAGCACTTAGTGCTGGGTTTGACCCCAGCACTGAGGGAAAGGCGTCCATTCCAGCTATCAATCCATCCTCCAGCAACTTTCAGGCTTGGATAACATGACCAATAATATCAGTTGATAATATTGGTTCCTGCAGCATAAGAACTTGATGGCATCTAATTCCTGTATCCCTGAACCTCTGAGCAGAAGCTTCTGGGCCCCTGAAAGTTTCCAGGTGAATGTAAAGTGCACCTTGGCTGCAGATTCTTACTTGATGTCTCATCCTAGAGAGACAGGATAGACCAATAGGCTCCAGAAGGTCTCCTCTTGCCTCTTTAGCTTAATGTTTTGCTCCAGGCTTTGCTTTATGGACTTTCAGAATTGATTGCTTACCCCCAAGTCCCAAAATCCCTAATCACAGAGGACTGTCCAAAGATGGTCATGTCCAATGACCAGGAGGCAACCACTCCTACCCCAAGAAGACAGGAGACAAAAAGAGTAGCTACAACAAACAGCTCAGCCTATGCCAAAATTTTACTATGTGCAAGGAATAAATGAGTACGATGCCCCTTTGCCAGAGGGGGCAATGGAGTTTCCTGGTTTGGAGGGGCTAACCCTATGTGGCACAGACAGTCCTTCCAGTTACGAGTGCACTTTTTCATCAGTTTACGTCAGTTGTCCCTGACTCCATTGTAACCCTACAAGGTGAACTTTACAGGGTGTCCTTGGGATGTCCAGAGGGTGCAGTTGGCAGCCACGACACCATGAGTACACTTGCTCTTGGTCTCAGAAGATACAGGCTTGGGCCTGGTTAGTACTTGAATGGCTGAGAGAGCTCGAAACTGGATCTTGGGTTGTCCAACTCTGAGAGAGTTGCAGTGGTGTTATCCCAGCTAGGGAAGTGGGGTGGGTTCCCCAAGATACCAAGAAAACAGAGTTATCCTGTGAGGTGGAGGCCTTATTGAAATCACTGACAGGGTGAGTTCAGTAGCAATGAGCAGGGCAGATAACCCTGCCAGAGTCCAGTGACAGCAGGATGGACAGTTGGTGCACAGAGAGGGGTTTCCTAGGTCAGCATGTGCAAGCCTTGGACCATTCCTTGCCTCCGTTCATTGTGTCCAGACTCCAGGGATGTATAGAACACTTGCATGATTAGTTTCCAGGGTTCTTGTGGGGTGTTAATGCCCTTCAGGGTACATACTGGGCACCCCAATCTTGTCCTATCCTGAGTGTCCTTCTATCCTTGGGGGGAAAAAAGAGGATTTTTTTGGACCCATGTCATTGGGTGTCCTACTTTTCCTAAGGAGCACACACTGTATCAACATGTCTCCAGACTCACAGTTACATAGAAATAAGGAGGGTGCAGAGGAAATCTGAATGCATCAATAGGGTAGACTAAGCCTCTTTACCAATTGTGGCTTCCACTCATCTCTGAAATGGAAGTAAAATGAGATTGTTAGGGTGGGCCCTAATACTGTATGATTAGTGTTCTTGTGAGAGGAGATTCAGACCTAATTATTTGCAAATAATTATGACACACAGAGTCTTGTTAAGATCCAGGAAGATCCTAGGCATCAGCAAGCCAAGGAGAGATGCTGAAGAGAACCAGCTCTACTGATATTTGGACTTTGTCCCCAGAATTGTAAGAAAATAAACTTCTGTTGTTCAAGTCACCCCGTTTGTGGTACTTTTTAATGGTAGTCCTGGTAACTAAGTGCAAACAGACTAGGACATTGGTGTCCTAAATGTTGCCCCCAAATCCAGATCTGAAACTGTCAAAGGTGGGGCTGGGGAGATAGCTCAGCTGGCGAAACCCTCGCTATGCAAGGCAGAGGGCTCACATTTGATCCTCAGAACTCACCTAGAAAAGCTGGGCGCTTCCAATCCTGGTGTTGGAGAGCAAGAATGGGAGGTTCACTGGCTGGCAAGCCTCACCTACTTGTTGAGTTCTAGACTAGTGGGGGACTTGTCTCAAAAAAGAAATAGAAGGTGGCTTGTATCAGGATTTTTCTTTTGAGCCACCAACCAGCTCCCAAATCATGACATGAAGACTTATTAGTTATGAATGCTCTGCCTAGCTTAGGCTTGATCCTGGTTAGCTCATTTAACTTGAATTAACCTGTTTCTCTTTATCTACCTTTTGCCTCAGGGCTTTTTACCTTATCTTTCTGTATGTCTTACTCTGTGTTGGCTGGCTGGCAGCTGCCTGGCTGGCCTTGGGCTTGAGTCTAGATTCCTCCTTCTATTTATTCTCTCAGCCTGCCAGCCCTGCCTATCCTTCTCCTGCCTAGCTATTGGCCATTCATCTTTTTATTAGACCAATCAGGTTCTTTATGCAGGCAAGGTGAAACAAATACAACACATCTTTTTATAATTAAACAAATGCAGCATAAACAAATGTAACACATCCTTACATCATTAATCAAATGCAGCAGAAACAAGTGTAACACGCCTTTATACAGTTAAATATTCCATAGCATAAACAAATGTAATACATCTTTACATAGTTAAATTTCCACAACATTTCCCCCTTTTTGTCTAAATGAAAAAGGATTTTAATTTTAACATAGTAAAACTATATTCAATAAGAAAAATTATCAAGCAAGAATTACATTCACAATCTGGTCCATTTGTATTTGGCAAAAATCAAAGAAAATATTCCATTATTTATCCTATCTTGGTGTGTCCAAAGTTTTGTACCTAATTTGCCTTCTATCATAACTAAGGAAAACTATAATTAACTAGTCTTCAACTCCATCAAAAACCCCAGAAGGATATATTACCTGAGTAAACAGGAAGTATAGTGCAAGCCACCTCCAAACCTATAAAAGTGACAGACATCTGGCTGCTTGGATAGTCACCCAAGGTTCCTCTGCAATGTTGGGGCATCCAATCTTCAGCCTATAGGCCTAGAATATTTGGGAGACTTTTCTATGAAGCAGGAATTTTGAAGGACTGTCCTGTCTTGTTTTGACAAAGTTAAGCCGTCTTTTTCCTTTGTGTCTTGCTTGTTCAGATTGTACAGCATACTGTCAGCAGTCAAGGCAAAAGCAGTTTTGTTGCCCAGTGGCTAACTTTGCCATATTGAAAGCAAACTCCATACAGAATTTCTTTGAAGACCAGTATCTTCTCTGAAATAAATTGGTGCTGCCAGGAGCAGATGTGTCTCACTGAAATGAAAAGCCTTAGGTTATTAAACATCTTAAATGCCTATTCTATAGGTCTTTGAAGTGTTTGAAGACCATCTGTCTGTCTAAATATATCTGTTTAACCTTGAAAACATACCTAATATGACTACAAGTTTGATTATTATAGATGACAAACTACCAAACTCCATTTCTTAATTATATATTACTTTTTAAAAATTAGCTAAATAAGCACAATAACCCAACAAAGTATAAAAAACATACATTCAGTATATAAAAAAAACCCTTTAAGTTTGTATCAATATACCAAAGTCTTTATCAATGTAAAATATTTGAGGTTAATAGTTGTCTTTTTTATCCCATATTCCTATATCCTCCTTAAATGATGACAAATATCCATAACCCATTGAATGACCAAAAATCACCCACCCAACCACTTGGTAATGTGGATGTTGTATTCTCTAGACTGCTTCCTGTTGTCTGGGGGTGATGACATCTTTAGGGGACTTTGAGAAAATTGAGATAATGGTCAAGTCCTGGGAGAGCTAGCCATAACATTTGTTGCCCAGTCTCTGTGCAATGTGAAAATATAAGGTTTATCTGTGGTCCTGGCTAGAATAGCCTGTGAGGTTCAACCATCTCAGTCAGCAGCCTTGAAGATGTTCTGGATGCAGAACTCTGAGGAAACTGCAACAGAGGCACTCTGAGAGACTGGATCACCTGGGTTACCTGTTTTCATTGGTGTCTGGTCCTTTTGCTCTGAAAACACACAAACTTCTAAAGGTAGCATACATATCTGCATTAACACAAGTATGGACTGGGTGTTGTACACAAGTCAGCCAAAGATGATTTTTTTTTGTTTTATGTTTGAGCAGGTAATAATATATACATCACCTGTCTTGTAGTTTTTTTCTTGGTTTATTTCTTTATGTCTATAGCCAGGATTTTTAGGAGGTTTTCCCTGATCAAACCTGATCTCTATTAACCTTGAATGAATCCACAGCCTTTTGTTTCCTTACCTCTTCCCCAGAGCAATACATTTTCTGACTTCCATTTTGAAGTTAAGGCATTCCTAAAGTGTTTAGACTGGTTTAATTCACCAGTCCCTGTTACAATCCCATGTCTCTCAGCAGCTGTTGTTCACTCATCAGCATTCAAAAAATTCAAAGTCAATACAACCCTATACAGGATCCAGACTCCCTGTGTATTTCTCATCTTTAGATGGCTTGTTCTTTTTTATATTACTTAACTCTTTCTTTAAAGACTTTAATATTTTTAAACTATTTTTTTCTATGACTGTCTATACTCTTTTTCTTTTCTTTTTTAAGCCTATGCACATTTTTAAACACACTGGAACCTGTTTAGAGGCTTTTTCCATCTAGATCTGTCTTTACTAAGTACCTGCAGCTGCATGCTTGCAGCATTCTCTGATGTTTTAGCCAAATGTTAAGCTGCTAAGCAGCTTTGCTCTGGCAGCTGTGGCAACTGGCATGGGTCCTTGGAAGATGAGCTCTAAGCCCGGTGGGCCTGGCTGGCAGCTGTTTTTTTTAACTAGGAACTGCATTCAACTGCCCCAGCTCTAGGAAATTGGTATTTTTTACTTAGCTTTTTGTTTCTACCTAGCATGTCAGCCGCTCAAGGGCTCTATATGGCAGAACCTCTCAAAGGAGCCATATCCATCCCCCCTCTCTCTTTTCCTCTTTTTCCCCTCAGCTTTCTCAGACCTTACATGGAAATATGGCCCCCATGTTGGAATGCCAAATGTACCAGGCTTTTTCTTTTGAGCCACCAACCAGATGCCAAATCATGACATGGAGACTTCTTCTTAGTTATGGATGTTCAAACTAGCTTAGGCTCAATTCTGGCTAGCTCTTTTAACTTAAATTAAACTGTTTCTCTTTATCTACATTTTACCTCAGGGCTTTTAACCTTTTCTTTCTTCAGTATATCTTATTTCTGCTGTCTCTATATCTGGCTGGTCCTGGGCATGTCCCCCTCTTTCTCCCTTGTTCTCTTCTTCTTCTCCTTCTCTTCCTCCTCCTTCTCTCTCTCTCAAGCCTAGATTCCTCCTCCTATTTAGTCTCTCAGCCTGACAGTCCTGTCTATCCTTCTCCTGCCTAGCTACTGACCATTCAACTTTTTATTAGACCAGTCAGGTACCTCATGCAGGCACGGTGAAACAAATGCAACACATCTTTTCATAATTAAACAAACGCAGCATAAACAAATGTAACAATCCTTACATCAGTAAACAAATACAGCAGAAACAAATGTAACACGCCTTTACAGGTTTAAAGTAATATTCCCCAGCAGAAACAAATGTAACACATCTTTACACAGTTAAAGTGATTTCCACAACAGTGGCTGGCACCTCATCAACAGCACTGCTCTAGTTTACCTTCTGCTGCTCCAGTAAACACGGGTAACTCAGTAAACATGGGTAACTCAGAGCAACTTGTGGGGAAAGAGTGCATTTGGTTTTCAGATTACAGAACACTGTTAAGGGAAGCAGGAACTCAAGGCAGGAACTGGAGAAGGAACCATGAAGGAATGAAGCTTGCAGGCTCCCTTTCAGCTACCCAGGTCTTGAGTTTAACTGTATCAGCACTCTTCTCTCATCCCTAAACCTGAACAGCACACCTCATAAAACCACTTTACAGTTTCATTTATAAACAGACAAAAAGAATTGAGAAATAATCTGGGCCAGGGAGTTGGCTCAGTGGGTAAAGTTCTTGCTATTTGAACATGAAGACTTGAGTTCAGATCCCCAGTATTCATATTAAATCTGGGTGTGGTGACACATGAATGCCACCCAGCATTGGGAAGGTGGAGGTAAGTGACTCCCCAGGCCTGGCTGATCAGGCCATCTAACTGAAACAGCCAGCTCAAGGTTTAGTGAGAGACTTTGTCTCAAAACTAAGATGGGGGATGATTGAAGGGTGAGGGGCTACTCACTAGATCATGGGCCACTCAAAAGCAACTGTATCACCAGAAGCCCACCCAAATGGGTGAAAGTTCACAAAATCTGGAGCTCTGGAGCTCTCTGTTACCAATTAGGACTCTTGGGTCAGGTTCATTTTCTTCACTGATTGAAGAATGAAAAAGCAGGAAATAAATAATGGTCACAGAGAGCTAACAAGTCTTATTTGCTGTGGGATGTTCTGTATGGCAAATGTGTTGCTGATTAGTCAATAAATAAAACACTGATTGGCCATTGGCTAGGCAGGAAGTGTAGGCGGGACAAGGAGGAGAATAAAGCTGGGAAGTGGAAGGCTGAGTCAGAGAGACACTGCCAGCCGCCACGATGACAAACAGCATGTGAAGATGCCGGTAAGCCACGAGCCACGTGGCAAGGTATAGATTAATGGAAATGGATTAATTTAAGCTGTAAGAACAGTTAGTAAGAAGCCTGCCATGGCCACACAATTTGTAACCAATATAAGTCTCTGTGTTTACTTGGTTGGGTCTAACGACTGTGGGACTGGCAGGTGAGAGAAATTTGTCCTGACTGTGGGCCAGGCAGGAAAACTCTAGCAACACTTATTAGAAGTAAAAGTGGCCGGGCGGTGGTGGTGCACGCCTTTAATCCCAGCACTTGGGAGGCAGAGCCAGGCGGATCTCTGTGAGTTCGAGGCCAGCCTGGGCTACCAAGTGAGTTCCAGGAAAGGCGCAAAGCTACACAGAGAAACCCTGTCTCGAAAAACCAAAAAAAAAAAAAAGAAGTAAAAGTGTGTACACACACACATACACACATGCCTCACAAGTGAGGAGGGGATTCAGCAGCTGAGCTCTCTCTCTCCCTGGAGGGCTGGGGGTTCTAAGTGTTTCCGGTGGCCTGAGATGGGTCCTCCTCCTCTCATTTTGGGTCAGTCATTTGGACAAAGGAGACAAGGATGGTTGATTCACATTCATGTCCATGGCCTACCTGGGAAATGTCTGGGCAGGTCAGTTGGAAGGGTGCCCACCATATTAGGGGAAGTGTCAAGGAACTCTGCCAAGTATTTGTCCTGAACGAAGAAGAAGCTGGAAGTGTGCCATATTGTTTATTTATGACGTCTTTTCACATCTGTCTACCTGTCAGGGTCCTGTCTGGCTCCCCTATTCCCTCTTCTGCCTAACTCATGGGAAGATTGACAAGACAGTGCCTCTTCAGCCTCCTTACCACTTATGTAATTGTGGGCAGGGGATGTCTTGTGAATCTAGTACAGTTCAGGGACTTCCTGAGACTTGTGAGTTGTTTACTACCTGAGCCTTAAGCCTTCCTTTAAAACTTCTCAAGGAGCTTCCTCCAAGGATGTTTCAATTTGGCAAAAATTGCCAGGCAGTTAGACCACTGCCCTAGAAAGCAGCAATGAAGCAAAGTATGTGCCCTGACACTTCATTTGGTAATTCCAGAGTGTCGGTGGAAATATTACCAGATGCACAGAGTTTCATGCGAAAAGACTTAGTTACTTGATCAACAAGAGCGATGCAAGGAGTGGAAACCACCGGCTCTACCTCTTTCTTGGTCAGTTTGCCTCATCAGCATCCACCCTCCCACCAGTACCCCCTGGACAGCTATTACAGACAGAGAATCTGATTCCCCAAGGTATAAGACTTCCCTAGACACCGCACAGATCCTCTGCAGCTCCCATTCCAGTGAATGAGCATGGCTCAGGTGTCCACCAGGACCCCAGTCTCCTAGAAAGAATGCCACAGCTGGAAGATGGAGGAGGGAGGTAGTATCTATGGTGGTCAGACGCATCTGTTGGCAACTGATCAAAGCCTTGGGAAGCAATAGGGCTATGGAATCTGGAGACACATAAAAATCCATTTCTCGATTAAGTGACCAAAACAATGCAATAAAGCACAATGTAGTATGGAGTATAGCTGACAGATGAACTCTTACTCAGTGACACATCAACTCAGTATGGCACATCCTTTAAGCTTTGTACCCATGAAAGTTCTGTCTTTTGAATATGCCTAAAATACATCTAAAAATAACATATATTTATCACCTAAAAATAGATAAGGTGGTTTGAATGAGAATAGCCTCCATAGGCTCTTATGTTTGAATGCTTGGTCACCAATTGGTAGAACTGTTTGGGAAGGATTATGAGGTGTGGCCTTGTTGGAGGTGGTGTGTCACTGGGGGCAGACTTTCAATTTCAAAGGCCCACATCATTCCCAATGTGCTCTCTCTGCCTCCTACTTGTAGACCAAAATGTGAGGTCTCAACTACTGTGCCAGCACCATGCCTGCCAGCCTGCTGCCATGCTCCCAGCTGTGATGGTCATGGACTTTAACTCTCTGAAACTGTAAGCCCACAATAAACTTTTTATTCTATAAATTGCCTTGGTTAGGTGTCTTTACAGCTATAGAAAAGTGACTAAGACAGATGTCATTAAATATTAAGGCATAAACTTCTGGTCTTGACAATTATGCATAGAATCATACTTCCAAACTACTGTTTAGACCCTCTATAGTGATCTTAACCACTTTAATAGTTTGTTGTTTTGTTTTGTTTTGAAACCAGGTCTTACTATGTAGCTCTGGCTTACTGGGAACTCACTGTGTAAACCAGACTGTCCTTGAACTCATAGAGATCTACCTGCTTCAGCCTCCCAGCTGGAATTAAACCCATGTGTCACTACACTCAGATTGTTGACAATTTTTAGAGTGAACTGAAGCTTCGGGGGCAGGCATACCTATGTTAAAGACTCTACAAGGCTAACTGACTAATTAGAACAGCAATTGTGGAGAGTTGGAATGTTGCAAGGCCAGAGCAAAACTATCTTGGGCTGCCTTTAGCCTCCTTGATAATTATTCACTGCTCATCATCCTGTGGTTAGCAGATAAAACTTTGGGGCACCTTAACAGACCACCAGCTTAAACCAAACCAAATGCCAAGGAAGCATCTGAGACCAATGGCATCCCAATGATCCCAACATATTTGAAAAGTCCCTTGATATATATTTCTGGGCCAAAAAAATCCACGAGAAACAGGGAGATGCTTGATCAATTCTGATCTAACAGAAGAAACTCTCTTATTCCTTTTGAAGTAAGCAATGTTCTGTTGACACCTGATACAGTTTCAAGGTGTATTGCCATGCCACGGTGCTGGCTGTATCTATCAGCATGTTTAGATGTCTCCAAAACATTGATGGTATAACACATTGAATTTTTGGAAGTATGAAAATGTGTAAGAAAATACGTGACTGAAAATAAAAGGAAATGAAATTATGTTAGTCAAGGGTCTCTTGAGGAACACAACTGATAGAAAGAGTACATACTAAAAGGGAATTGATTAGTTAGCTTACACAGTATGGTCTGGGTAGTCCAACAATAGCTGTCTCACAGTGCAGGAGCCCGAGAATCTGGTAGCTTCTCAGCCCACAAGGATGGATGTCTCAGCAGTCCCAGCATGAACTGGAAGGCCTGGAGGATTCCTGGAGAGTCTGTGCTGGAAGCTTGAAGAAGCTGGTTTTGATATAAACAAAGGAAGGCTGCAGTGCAGCCACAGGGTGATGAACTCGCCAGCAGGAGAGAAGGAAAGCAGGTGAATGCAGCGTTCTCTCCTTCCATCTCCCTCTTGTCTGGGCTGTCAATGGAAGGCGCCATCCACGTTTATGGTGAGTCACCCCAGTTCAACCAATCTGATCAAGAAAGTCCCTCATAGGAACGCCCAACATCTTACCTTTTGCTTGATTTCAGATCCAACCAAGATGCGCCTTCACAGGTACACAGCAGACTTGGACCTGGGTGTCTCACATATATATTTATTGCAATTTTGTTTCATTTACAA